TCACTAGGACTACTGCAAGTGTCTTACTGGTCTGTTTCCACTCACTACAACCTATTCTCAACACAGCAGCCAGAGTGGGGCTTTTAAAATGTCAAATTAGATGCGATCACTTCTTTCCTCAACCCCCTCTAAATAGTTCCCTTATTTTATTTAAGGTAAGAGCCAAAGTCCTTATGATGGCTTACAAAATCCCCAAATCTGGGGTGCCTGGGTGGCTCAGTGGGTTAAAGCCTATGCCTTCGGCTCAGGTCATGATCCCAGGGTCCTGGGATCGAGCCCCGCATGGGGCTCTCTGCTCAGCAGGGAGCCTGCTTCTCTCTCTCTCTCTCTCTCTCTCTCTCTGCCTGCCTCTCTGCCTACTTGTGATCTCTGTCTGTCAAATAAACAAATAAAATCTTAAAAAAAAAAAAAAAATCCCCAAATCTGCTCCACTCCTGCTTGCCTTTTGCCTTTCTGACCTCATCTCCCATTCTTCCCTGCACACTCTTGCTCTTCTCTCTTGCCTGCCTGTCTTTGTCCATGCTGGCCTCCCTGCTATTCCTTGAACATACCAAGCAGACCGATGCTTCAGGACCCTTGCATTTACTTTTCCCTCTCCCAGGACAACCCTCTTTCTCTCATATCTATCTGACTGTGCTTTCCAGTCTTTGCTCAAATGTCTGTGTGGCCTTCCCTGACTGCTCTATTTAACACTGTAAAAAACTTACCTACCTCCCAACTCCTCCCTTTCTTGTTCTAGTTCCGTACCACTTACCACACCTAATGTACTATATAATTCACTTAATTTCTTTATGGTCTCTCTCCACACACCAGAATGCAAAATTCATAACAGGGATTTTTTTTTTTTAGATTTTTTTTTTTTATTTATTTATTTGACAGAGAGAGATCACAAGTAGACGGAGAGGCAGGCAGAGAGAGAGAGAGAGAGGGAAGCAGGCTCCCCGCCGAGCAGAGAGCCCGACGCGGGACTCGATCCCAGGACCCTAAGATCATGACCCGAGCCGAAGGCAGTGGCCCAACCCACTGAGCCACCCAGGCGCCCCCATAACAGGGATTTTTGTCTGTTTTCTTCTTTGTGGTATTTCTACCACACAGAAGCGTATGTAACACATAACTCGTTTTCAGTAAAGATTTCTTGCAAAACTGACTAAACTGAATGAACGAGCAAATGTAAGAAAGAACAGGAAAGAGAGAAAAAGGAAAAGAACAGAAGACAGAAAAAAGGAGAAAGGAAAAGAAAGAGAAGAAAAGGAAAGGAAGAAACTTGCCCAAGTAATGTGAGCAGTACAGTACAGCCAGCATGGAAAGCCAGCTTTGCTGGGCATCAAAGTCCACACCATTCCACTGTAGCATCAGTTAAGAACAAATATTCTAAACAAATATCTTAAGAATTTAAATATGCTCAATAAGCAGTAGCATAAAAAAGAAAAAAAAGTTAAAAAGGCAAGATATCTTTCCTGAAATACAATTAGAAAATGATTAAATCAGAACTATTTTAGAATTCAACTTTAAATAATACAATTCTCAAAGCTACAGAAGTATACATGATTATTTTTGTTAATTTTTAGAAAGATTTTTATTTAATTGTCAGAGAGAGGCAGAGAGAGAACACAAGCAGGGAGAGCAGCAGGCTCCCCACTGAGCAAGGAGCCTAATGCAGGACTTGATCCCAGGACCCCAGAATCATGACCTGAGCTGAAGGGAGACGCTTAACGGACTAAGCCACCTAGGCATCCTCAATTCTTTCTTTTAAAACAGCTAAAATTAAAGATAATTTTGATAGGATTGGTTTACAGTACACTGAACATCAGGCAAAAAAGAAGAGTGATCCCTGAGAGGCAGGAAATAAGTGAAGTGAGACCCATGAGTACCCTCAACTAATACCTTGAGAGAGGGTGTAGGCCACAGGTTAGGGAAGAGAGACATAGGCAGAGCCCACCAGACGTCCCTGAGTTGAGGAGATAGAGCTGAGAGTCTAAGGAGAACAAGCTGAACAGAGGTAGCAAAACAGTGTACCAAAGAAGAGAGAGGTACACAAAGTACAAAGCTTTGATCTGTGAGGGTCCCGCTTGAACATCCAGGAGAGTACTGACTGGCACATGTGTGTGAGAAAGCTATCTGAGACCAGAAAAGGAACCATCTACAAGGATTAGAAAAAACAACACTGACTGTTCCTACTGACCAGGCTAAAAAAGCCCCAAATTCATGGGGCATTGGGTAGAGTACTCCAAAGTGGGAAATGATACCTACACTGGGCACTGCTCCAATTATAAAAGACTCAAATGATACAAACTGTTTCAAAGTAACTTAACTGTGTCCCAGATCAAAGCTCAAGAAGAGGTACAGGAATACAAATGTATGTGACAACCAGTAAGGTGAAACTAACAATGCCTGACATCCACTCAAAGACAAGTAGGCATGTAAAGAAGCAGGAAAACCTGACCAAAACTTGGGAGAAACACAAACAGTTCAAAACTGATGCAGCACTGACAGAGTGATCAGAATTAGGACATTTCAAGTTACTAAAACTGTATTCCAGATCTTTAAAAAGATAACTAAAGACATACTGGATATAAAAAAAAGAAAAAAAAAAGGTCTTAAGTTTACAGAGCAGAAAACTGCAATGTCTGAGACGTGAAGTACACTGGATGAGATTAATGGCAAATTAGACATTGCAGAAGAAAAGATGCTAGGACTTGAAGACCTACAAATAGGAACTATCCAAAATGAAATACAGAGAGACAAAGGAACTTTTTTAAAATGGGAAAAAAAAAAATCACTGAGCCATAGAACAATTTCAAACAGTCTAATATACATGTAATTGGAGTCTCTAAAGAAGATGAGGGGGGTGGGATAGAAAACTGATCAAGAAAATAATGGCTAAGAATTTTCTGGATTTGATGGAAGCTATAGATTCCCCGATCCAGGGAGTTCAGAGAACAGAATCATGAAGAAAACCACACAAAGACATATCATAACCAAATTGTTGAAACCAGTAATAAACAGAAAACTATAAAAGCAGCCAGAGAATCAAGACACATTATATGCAGAGAAATAAAGAAAAAGATGACAGCAGGTTTCTTGTCAGAAATACAGAATGGAGCAACATCTTTAAAGTACTGAAAGAAAAAAAATCCAAGTTAGAATTATATACCCAGGACAAATATCTTTCAAAAACAAAGATTTCTGGACACACAAAAGCGGAAAGATGTCATCACTAACAGACCTGATTTGCAAAAAATGCCAAAGAAAATCCTTCATATGGAAGAAAAATGACACCAGATGAAGGTATGTATCTACACAAAGAAATGAAAATGAAATTGTGCATCTACATTTAGGGATGCAGCAATGATATTCCACTTATAAATATGTAAGATTTTAAAAAATACTGAAAACTCTCTGCAAGACATAATCACCTTTTTAAACAAAAGCAACAATACTGTATTTTGTATTTTATAAAACAGGTATAAGTAAAATGTATAACAAAAACATAAAGGCCAGGAGGTACAAAATAATGGTATATTATCTTAAGATTCATGCTATAGGGGCACCTGGGTGGCTCAGAGGGTTAAGCCTCTGCCTTCGGCTCAGGTCATGATCTCAGGGTCCTGGGATCGAGCCCCGCATTGGGCTCTCTGCTCAGCGGGAAGCCTGCTTCTCCCTCTCTCTCTCTGCCTGCCTCTCTGCCTACTTGTGATCTATCTCTGTCAAATTAAAAAAAAAAAAAAAAAAAAAAAAGATTCATGCTATATGTGACGTGGTGAACGATTACTTGAAGGTAGACTATAAGTTAAAGACCTGTACATGAATGTTCAGAGCAATTCATGTGTAACAGCCAAAAACAGAAACCAACCCACATATCTATTAACACATGAATGGATAAACTGGGTATATTCATACAATAGAAAGCCATTTACAATAAAACTACTTAGCAGTGAAAAGAAATGATATGCTGGTACATACAACAAAATGGATAAATCATAAAATACTTACACTGAAAAATGCTGGGCCCTCCCCCCCCAAAAAAGAGTATATATGGTATGACCACATTTATATAAAACTCTACAAGACACAAACTCAGAAAACAAATCAGTAGTTGCTTGGTGGTGAGGTGGGGCAAGAGAGATAAAAAGCGGCACAAAAGAACGTTTGGAAATTATGGATATCTTGATGGTGGCGATGGTTTCTTTCGTGTGTGTGCGTTTTGTGTGTGAAAATGTATTAAGTTGTACACATTAAATATGTGCAATTTACTGCATATGAATAATTCCTCACTAAGGCTGTTTACAACGCATTCTGGATTTAAATGTTCAGGTTAAAAACCTGGAAAGTGGTTAGACTACCTACAGTGTTCTTCTGGCTCTACAAGAATGAAAATAAAGAGATGAACAAAATATTTGTAATTTTTGTAAGAGTTAGGATGGATCACAGAAACCAATTAATCAAAACCTTTCCTTATTAGAGATAAAGAAACCAAGTCCCCCAGGGCTGCAGTGACTTGCCCGGGGCCACACAGCTATAGTCAGTAGCTTACTGAACTGTATGAGCCACAACAGCAGGGACCAGGTTATTTAGGTCACCATTACATCCCCTAAATCTACAGCAATGCCTGCCTGGGACATAGCACAAACTCGGTAAGTGTTGACTGTATTTCCCCTGGAAGGAAAGGTAAAAAATGAAGATAAAAGGAAAGGCAAAAGGAAAGAAAACCCCCCTTGCAATATGACTGCAAGTTTCTTCCATCTGGAATTCTCCCATCTCTCTCACACAGATGAGGGAATTAAGCAATAGCTTTAACACATCAACATCATGAATACAAGAAAATTATATTCCTTATCTTTGTTTTACTGAATATTTTATTATATTCTAATGTTTAAAAATTTCTAGTTCATGTTGCCAACTCTTAAACAAGCAGGAAAATCAAGAGGAAATACTTTATTCATGAAGATTAGTGACAGTTTCAAATTAAAAACAAATTTAAAGAATAGAGAAATACTTACCAAAAATTTCTCCATTTTTGGCATATTCTGTCACAAGGTACAACATATTTTTGGTCTCCATTACCTATTGATAAATAATTCCATATTAGTCCGATAGGAAAGGACTGCAATTCTAGTCTACTGCAATTCGAATTCTATGAAGTTACTAAATAAAACTACTAATAAAAATACCAAATTTATGAATGATTCAGCAGGTGGCTAAGTTTACAAGACTGACAATACCTTTCTACTAACACTTTTGTGAGAAATCTTGGTCCTCACTTGTTTAAGTGTGGTCCATGGACCAGCAGCAGCACTGCCAGGCAACTGTTAGAAATGCAGAATCTCAGGCCCCACCTCAGACCTACTGACACAGAATTTCCATTTCAACAAAAAATTTTTAAACCAAAGTGTGACTGTTATGCACATTCAAGTTAAAAAACACGAACACAGGTAACGGGAGTTTTGAAGATCAACTCTCTACCACCTTCTCATGGACTTTTCTAGTCCTGTGCTATAGGTAGACTTTGATTAAGAATAATAGAGATAAATAAAATAGAGCTCAGTTTATTAGGCCTGTAGCCCTGATCACCTGGCAAAATAGGATATTCCTCCTTGTATAATGTAATATTGTTACAAACTACAATTATTTTAAAAACAGTTCAAAAGCTTCTTTGTAACTCCACTGCTATACAGTTTAATTCAAATCAGTTTTCTAGGTTCAGAAAGGAAGCACGTCAGTGTCACAAATGTGATATTTCAAATTATACTGAACCAAAAGGAAATGAATTTATAAGTACAAAATGAGTGAATTTTAGATTCTCTGTAACACCATCTTTTTATGTACTGGCATGCGATATCAAGGAAAATTTAACCATTATCTACTAAAAGGCTGGAAATTGATTTTGCCCTATCATGTAGGTTTAGGACTATTTGCAATCAGTCCGGAAAAAAAAGAGCTACTCACAACTGGAGTCGAAAGAGGATAAATAGCAAATCAATTCAACTGCTTATTTAGGTCAAATAAAAGATGGAATTCTGTGAGTCCTGGTAGTTTTAATCTTAGTTTGGCTTATAGTTCCTCAGACATATAAGGATGTGTATTAGTTTCTTACAAGTATCCTCTTTAGGAATTACCAAACTCTTTAGGAATTACCAAACAAACAAAAAACAAACAAACAAACAAAAAAGGCTTAAAAAGAGAAATACTCTGATATAAATACCACCAAAGAAGCCTTCTGCTGTTTTAGAACTGTTTTGAGAGGCACACTATGATCTCTCATTCTAATGGTAATAGTAATGGTCTCCAATTGTCTCTACACCTTTTTAATTACAAATCTCTATCAGTAACAAGTTGTTTAGTGAAATGTGTATCACAAATGCATGTACATGTATACACAGCCATGCGTGCATATGTTTAGATCAATATAAGCAGAGATACAAATTACATACTTGTGCCACTGTATAAACACACTATATACATTACAGAATGCACACAAAATAAATATAAAAAATAAGCATAGAAGTGTTAATATTTTCTTATTATGCCCAAGAGACACTTGTGCTAACCCATGTGAGTGCACAGAGGAATGTGCTAGTATTAGCTCTCTGTGGGCGGGGGGGGGGGGGGGGGGGAGGCCCTGACCTGTAAACAGTTTTCTGTGGTGTAAATACTCCCACTATAGCTGATTTTGAGATACTAACATGGTATTAATTGGTTTGCAAAACATCTGAAAATTTAACAGTCAGTTCTTACAAGCCAGTACAGACAGAGTCTAGCACACCACTAGGTGTGCCCGCATCACACTATGGAGATCAAAGTCCTATGCCAGCGTTCTGTAACAGATTTTCCACAGGGGCACCTGGCGGCTCAGCTGGTTAGTGCTGCATTCTTGATTTTGGCTCAGGTCATGATCTCAGGGTTGTGAGAGCAAGCCCTGTTACAGGCTTGGTACTGGGCAAGGAGCCTGCTTAAGAGTCCCCCTCTCCCTTTCCCTCTGTCCTGCCCCATGCCCTGACCCTCTTCACCTCTAAAAAAAAGTTTTCTAATATAAAAATTCTACATATTAAGGAATAGAAGTGTTAAAAAAAAGTTTATTACATTATCATTCCTCAATATGAATTACTCTTCAAAAATCAGAGATCTTCTTTTTTTTAAGGTTTATTTATTTATTTTAGAGAAAGAGAGAGAGCATGAGTGGGTAGTGGGGAGGGATCTAGGGAGAGGGAGAGAGAACCCCAAACAGACTCTGCACTGAGCAGAGAGCCAGCCATGGAGCTGGATCCCACAACCCCCGAGATCGAGACCTGAGCTGAGAACAAGAGTCAGACATTTAACCAACTGTGCCACCCAGGCACCCCAGAGAAGGTTTTTCTTTTAAAAAACATAGCTTCTACTTGATGGGGCGCCTGGGTGGCTCAGTGGGTTGAGCCGCTGCCTTCGGCTCAGGTCATGATCTCAGGGTCCTGGGATCGAGCCCTGCATCGGGCTCTCTGCTCGGCAAGGAGCCTGCTTCCTCCTCTCTCTCTGCCTGCCTCTCTGCCTGCTTGTGATCTCTGTCTGTCAAATAAATAAATTTAAAAAAAAAATTATTAATAAAAAACATAGCTTCTACTTGAAATGGGTACAATTTACTTTACAAAAATGCTATCTCAATAAAGTTGATTTCTTAAAAAAATACTCCTTTATCTGACAAACTAACCCGAACAAAATATATAAGATTTGGCTCTACGTATTACAAGGTATGCCACTAAGTAATATACTATTTTAATACTGTATTTCATAAAACATAAACAGTGTATTTTCTTAAATAAGCAAAACTGCCATATCCTCATTTATGGTACAACCACCAAAAGCCAACAGGTTTGAGTATCAAATACATAACTACAAACTTTTTAATTAAATAACCTACAGTCTGAGAAACAACTTAAAAGGAAGCTACTGGTTTTTTATTTCCTAATTTTTTACTTAAATATAGAAGACGGGTACTCAGCTTAATAAAAACTACATAATTATTCCTTTTTTATGGACTAAAAAAATAACATAAAAGAGAAAGACGATGCAAAAGAGAAAACAGGATGTGAGAAGCATGGGGAGGAATAAGCTTACATCCTACCTGATAAAGTTTGATGATGTGAGGGTGGTCTAACATTTTCATTATTTGTACTTCTCGGTAGATTTTCTCAAGGTTCACTGCATCCAGCTGAGATTTATCGATTATTTTTATCGCCACCTGCGTCCCGGGCACAAATAAATACAATCAGTATACAACAGTTAACATCTTCCAGCTAGCAATCTTTTGAATATACAGTACCAGATACTCTGCCTGTAAGTTCCTAGGCCAACAAAAATACTTTAAATTCAATGCTCATTCATTCAGCAAGTATTTCTTGGACACCCACCACACGTGAGGCACTGTGGTGATTTTGTTTAGGAGCGCCTTCTGTGTGCTAAGGGGAATAACTCTGCAGAGCTACTTTAATAAAACATATTTCTCTTTTAATAGAACTATAATGTTTTACACTCCACTTATAAACTGAAGAAATAAAAGCTCAGCAGCTTCAACCAGTTATCAGCCTGCTGCAAAGTACCTGTAAATAATTGATCAGCCAAGCAGAAGGCAGGTTCTGCTGTACCGAAATACCGCTTTTCTAGAAAAGCAAGTGATAGCTTCCAAAGAATATAGACATAGCTTTCAGAGGGGGGAGGGGATGGCTAAAGTATTAAAATCAATTCTATGAAAGATACCAACTGGATTAAACTTTTTAAAAAAGTTTTTATTCATTTATTTGAGAGACAGAGAACACACAAATGGGAGGAGGGGCAAAGGGAAAGGGAGAAGCATGATTCCCCACTAAGTGGGGAGCCCAATATGGGGCTCAATTCTTGGACCCTGGGATCATGACCTGAGCCAAAGGCAAAAGCTTAACCGAATGAACCACTCAGACACCCCTAAACTTTATTTTTAAAAATCAAAGTGCAAAAACTCATTAGTAATTACACTAGCTTTTAACTTCCCTAAAAGATCTGATTTTTAAAAATGTGTCCTGTTCCTATCAAAACTACATAGGAGCCCAAACGACTCCAAGGTTAACAATTTGAAGGCCCTGCATTTTAAGGTAAATAACTAGGTAGTCAGAAATCAAAAATCATGTACTTTTTTCTATGCAATCAAAAAAGAATTGATTTTTTTTAAAGAAATTGTAGCTATTTGGTTAGGAAATAAGCCATTCTGATTTAACTAAAATTTTCAGATCATTGGGAACCACTCAAACTTGATTATAACAAGTTCTGAAGAAACTCTAAAATGTACTTCACAGTCTACAGAAAAGTATTCTGAACATAACTCAGTTTTATGTTGTTTCAAGATAATTTTTATTATCCATTATTGTATGTGTTTTAATGGTTCCATACTTCTAAGAGGTATCTAAGAATATACGACTCAGCTTGTCAATTCACTTAATTTCTTCAGACTCTTGTTTACACAATTAGTTTTTTTTTTTTCTTTCCTATAGCTGCTTTATCCTTTGCTCTTACCTTTTTAAGCTCTACTGTAAGGTTTATTTCTTACCAATCTGTATTTCTAATTTGCGGTCCACAACTTATTTCCTGATTTGAATTAACTGTAACCCAGAGAAGAACTCAAGCTTCCCAGGGGAAATCAAATTACTAAGTATAATGCATAAAATTGAATTTACTGCCAAAGAAGAAAGGGGGTAGTTCCTTCTCTAGAGAGTAAAGTGCACATGTTTTGTGTAATTATTTTCATTATGTTTGATGGTATATTATTTCCATAATCAAAATATTCTAGAAAGTAAAAGGTGCTAAACTTTGCTACATAAGGAGACCGATCAATATTGTACTTGATATTAAGGACATTATTGGACCACCCCAATATTTATTTAAATTTAAATAAATTTAAAGCAACCCCCTTCTCCTCAATTTAATGATACAATATTATCAGTTACTTTAGGTAAAAGCTGCCAGATAAGAGGATAAGTATATATTTTAGTTTCCCTAATACTCCTTAGGAAGTTAATATGAAGTTTCATAGACATGCTTATTTTGAAGAAAATGTCTTGCCCTCCAATTGTTGGAGCATGTCTAAATATCCCCCTTGGGGCGCTTGGATGGCTCAGTGGGTTAAAGCCTCTGCCTTCAGCTCAGGTCATGGTCTTGGGGTCCTGGGATCGAGCCCACATCAGGCTCTCTGCTCAGCGGGGAGCCTGCTTCCCCCTCTTTCTCTGCCCGCCTCTCTGTCTACTTGTGATCTCTCTCTCTCTGTCAAATAAATAAATAAAATCTTTATAAATAAATAAATAAATATCCCCCTCATCCAAAAAAGCCCCACTTTTATAACGAAATGGGTCAGAACCCATTAATAAATAAAAAAGAATATCTTGATTATCATCTCTTTAACACTATAATGTTAAAGAAAAACTTTAGACACTAAATTCCAAGTAAAGCAAGGTATTACCAAGAGATACCTCATACTCTTTTTTAAAACCCTGGCCTCAAACAATGAAAAACCAAAAGATACATAAATTATCTAAGTAAACCTTAATAAGTCCTAACTCTCATTATTCAACTTTTTCTCAACCAAGAAATTCTCAAATGACAAAATCTAATTCTCTTCAATTTTATCTTATAAACATATGGACCACATGTGCAGATACTTATATCTTTACCCTGTTATCCCTTGCTTGTAAGGCCTGTCAAGATTATGAAAAGGTGAAGCACTAAAGAAAAAGCGGAGCATGGGTTAGCGTCCTCCTTCTGATAGTTAGGGCTTTATTAACGCGGTGAACCACACTGCCTAACTTGCGGATGCTGAACCACCCTCATAGCCCAGGAATAAATCCCACCTGGTCGTGGTGAATAATCTTTTTAATGTACTGTTGGATCCTATTAACTAGTTATCTTCTTGGGAATTTCTGCATCCATGTTCATCAATATACTCAAAGAGCTGGAGCAAACAATCCTAAAATTTGTATGGAACCAGAAAAGATCCTGAATAGCCAATGTAACTTTGAAAAAGAAAACCAAAGCTGGAAGCATCACAATTTCAGACCTCAAGCAGTATTACTAAGCTGTAATCATCAAGAATGGTACTGGCACAAACACAGATTCACAGATCAATAGAACAGAATAGAGAGCCCAGCAATGGACCCTCAACTCTCTGGTCAACTAATCTTCGACAAAGCAGGAAAGAATGTCCAATGGAAAAAAGACAGTCTCTTCAGTAAATGGTGCTGGGAAAATTGGACAGCCACATGCAGAAGAATGAAACTGGACCACTTTCTAATACCATACACAAAAATAAATTCAAAATGGATGAAAGACCTAAATGTGAGACAGGAATCCATCAAAATCATAGAGGATAATACCTCTTTGACTTCAGCCGCAGCAAATTCTTGCTAGACATGTCTCCAAAGTCAGGAGAAACCAAGGCAAAAATGAACTATTGGGACTTCATCAAGATAAAAAGCTTTTGCACAGCAGAGGAAACAGTCAACAAAACTAACAGGCAACCTACAGGATGGGAGAAGGTATTTGCAAATGTCTTATCATATAAAGGGCTAGTCCAAAATCTATAAAGAACCTATCAAACTCAACACCTAAAGAACAAAAATATCCAGTGAAGAAATGGGCAGAAGAAACGAATAGCCATTTCTCCAAAGACATACAAATGGACCAAAAGGCACATGAAAAAAAAAAAAAGCTCAACATCACTTGGCATCAGGGAAATACAAATCAAAATACAAATGAGATACCACCTCACACCTGTCAAAATGGCTAAAATTATCAACTTAGGAAACAACAGATGTTGGCAAGGATGTGGAAAAAGAGGAACCCTCTTACACTGTTGGTGGGAATGCAAACTGGTACAGCCACTCTGGAGAACAGTATGGAGGTTCCTCAAAAAGTTAAAAATAGAGTAACCATACAACCCAGCATTTACAGTACAAAGTATTTATCCAAAGGATACAAACAGTGATTTGAAGGGACAGCTGCACCCCAATGTTTATAGCAGCAATGTCCACAATAGCTAAACTATTGAAAGAGCCCAGAAGTCCACCAACATGATTGGCTAAAGATGTGTGTGTGTACACACACACACACACACACACACACACATATATGTACATGCAGACACAATGAAATTGCTCAGCCATCAAAAAGAATGAAATTTTGCCATTTGCAACAATATGGATAGAACTAGAAGGTATTATGTTAAGCAAAATATGTCAGAGAAAGACAAATATCATATGATTTCATGGATATGTGGAATTTAAGAAACAAAACAGATAAGCATAGGGGAAGGGAAGGAAAAATAAAATTAAGATGAAAACAGAAGCAAATCTTAAGAGACGCTGAACTCTAGGAAACAAACAGGATTGCTGGAGGGGACTTGGGTGGGGGGAAGGGATGGGCATTAAGGAGGGAGGACACTTGATGTAAGGAGCACTGGGTGTTAAATGCAACTAATGAATTGCTAAATTCTACTCCTGAAACTAATAAAAAAAAAAAAAGAAGAAAAAAATGAATTGTTAAAGCTTGGGGAAAAAAAAAATAGGGCTCATCTAACTGCTATGAGCAAGTAGACCACAAAATGCATAGTGATTCAAATACAACAGAAGTTTAGTTTTTGGTCATGTCACAGAATGGAATGGGGGAAGATGCCTCCATGCAGGCATACGAGGTTTAAGAAGGTTTTACTGCTTTTTTTTTTTTTTTAAGATTTTATTTATTTATTCGACAGAGATATCACAAGTAGGTAGAGAGAGGGAGAAGCAGGCTCGAGGGAGAAGCAGAGAGCCTGATGTAGGACTCGATCCCAGGACCCTGAGATCATGATCCAGGCCAAAGGCAGAGGCTTAACTCTCTAAGCCACCCAGGCTCCCTGAAGTTTTACTACCTTTAAAGTCTTCCATAGTTTACCCTAAAGGCTGTTTCCAGCCTGACAGGAGAAGGAAACTTAGAGGAGCTCTCACAAGAGGTTTTTATGGGCTAGCCCTCAAGTGGTACGTATTATCTCTGTTCACTTCATTAGTTAGAACTCAGTCACATAACCCCATCTAAATGTGAGAGGCCCAGAGACAGACCAGTGACAGGTCCAGGAAGAATAGGAAACAATGGATTTTTAGTGTTCAGCTAGCAGTCTCTGGCATATTCTTCCAGGTAATTTCTTAACAATGGGACTCATTACCAAGTACTCCCAGAAATATAATG